GAAGGCAAAAGTTCAACTTTTCACAAGACGGATGTCTATAAACCTACTCAACGTGTGACAACTCAGCCGGTATTTCGTCGCCTACAGCCCAGCTTTCCATAGTGACCGATAGAGGCGCTGCTATCGATGTCCGCCTGTGCCGCCTAACGAATCGATGTGTCAAAAGCTCACAAGGCCCATAGCCAACGCACTAGATGTTGAGAATTGGTCATTTGGGTCATGATAGGTATGACCTGAAAAACAGGTCATATCTCCGAAACCAAAAACCACAGAAACTTGAAATTTTCAGTAGACATCAAGAAAGGATAGAGAAGCAGCTATACGAAAAGTCAGGCTTCTATCTCTTAACCCTCGCCCTGACAGGGCATTTTTCATAACAACGCCTGGCAGGGGGGGGGGTCGATGCGACCCCCCCCTTGCGATTGGCTCCTATGGCACCTGGAAACACCAAATTTGATAGGTAGGTGGTTCCCCTAGAGTTCTCGCCCCTGTGCAAATTTGGTTGCTCTAGGTCAATATTTAGGGTTTTTTGAGGGGGGGGGGGGGTATAAATGTAAAAATTTCGCTAAAAACACGTCAAACGTTTTTCGCTTATAACTTTTGATCTAATTAAGATAGAGCAAAAATAAAAGCACCAGTGAACTCAGCACGTCAAGGCGCGTCGAATGATATTCTTTTTAGCTTGCTTAACCCGGCGGCCGCTGGACCTCCGCGCCACCCGCCGGCCGCTGGGGGGGGGGCATATAGTTGCCCCCCCTTTACTTCCGCGGCGATATCGTCGCAACGCGAAGAGATAGAGAAGCGAAACTTTGCACACATCTTTCTGAATACCTAGCCGAGGTTGTGTCCAAATTTCGTGTCGATCCCATTTGAAATGACGTCACAGTGACGTCATAAGTCAAATTATAGATTCGCGACTCTCAGTTTCCTCACGATACATCAGGTATATGGGACCGAATATAACCCGCGCACCGACGGGGGTCTGCGCCAACTTAGTACCGACGGGGGGGGGCGGATGACCGCCCCCCCTGAGATCTCGAGAACGAAGCAAGATAGCGACAAGCGGTAAACGGCATCGGATACGCACGGACAAGGTCTACAATTTTTACTAAGGTCATTTTCAGGTCAGGTCAAAGATGACGTCACAGGGGTCGAAAAAGTCAAAATGGCGGCGCTAGATATGGAGAGGGTTTTTCTCGAATAACTTTCGAAGTAAACAAGATAGGAACAAACTAAGGGCATCATCGTGATCCTCTCGTCAATCTGCATCGAATGATATATATGTTGACCTCGAAAGGTCAAGGTCAAAGGTTGACCTCAGGTCACGTGACCTCGAGGTCATCATGTATATCATTCGATGCGTCTTGACGAGCTGAACACAATGAGACCATCCGCGCGGCTGTATCTTGTTCCTGTAAGGAGTTATTGGCAAAAAACCTTTGGTGACCTTTGATGACGTCACATGACCTTACAGCTGCCCAACAGCAAAACAGACCTCAGGGTAGTGAAGGTTGATCGTATGTGAAGTCATGTATGGTATATGGGGCCATTGCGACCCGTTTTAGTGGTAAAAACAGGGAGTTGATTTTTCCCCCATTGACTTATAATGGGGAGGTCGCGAAATTGACCTGACCTTAGGTCACCGACATCAAAATTCCGAGATATACAAATTGTAGCTACTAATGACCTAATAACATCCTGCGACTTTCAAAGGCCTCCGACATCTACTGTAGCTCTGGCACGGTGACAAAGTTGCAAAAAAGTGACTTGAGGTTGGGTCATTCAAAGTGACCTGGTGACCTGACCTTAAAAGTTAGGAGGTTCAAACTTGCACACCATGTGTAAAATTGATGAGAGAACAGTCATACCAAATTTCGCGGCGCTACGCGCCGCGGTTTTCCCGCTATCCGCGAAAAACCTCAGGGGGGGCGGATATCCGCCCCCCCCGTCGGTGCGCGGGATAAAGGGCCGATTATTGGTTAGGAACGAGATGGAAGTGCACTTAGACGTTTTAGGATGACAGCAGGTGCTGTCTAGTTCATTTGCAGTTGAGTTTCATGCTCAGCGTCATCAGAAACGGTCCATATCGGAAAACGACAAAACTTTATGACGTCACTGTGACGTCATCGTAGATGCTACAACCACCCAACTTTCTTCAAACATTGCCTAGGTATTCATTTGAAGCTATGCCAAGTTTCACGTTCGTAGCTCATCAGGTTTCGGAGATATTCCACAAAACGTAAAGGGGGGGGGGGCAACTTTATGCCCCCCCAGCGGCTCGTGGGTTAAGTGTACTTAAAGTTTTTCTTAAATTTTAAGTAAACTTAAATTAATAAATTAAGTTCAAGTTAACCAAATTGCATTATATCGCATATCATTCGATTCGGCTGATCACCAGGAACACAATGATACCATTTTTTAACCCGCGCACCGACGGGGGTCTGCGCCAACTTAGTACCGACGGGGGGGGGGCGGATGACCGCCCCCCCCCCTGAGATCTCGAGAACGAAGCAAGATAGCGACAAGCGGTAAACGGCATCGGATACGCACGGACAAGGTCTACAATTTTTACTAAGGTCATTTTCAGGTCAGGTCAAAGATGACGTCACAGGGGTCGAAAAAGTCAAAATGGCGGCGCTAGATATGGAGAGAGTTTTTCTCGAATAACTTTCGAAGTAGTCAAGATAGGAACAAACTAAGGGCATCATCGTGATCCTCTCGTCAAGCCGTATCGAATGATATATATGTTGACCTCGAAAGGTCAAGGTCAAAGGTTGACCTCAGGTCACGTGACCTCGAGGTCATCATGTATATCATTCGATGCGTCTTGACGAGCTGAACACAATGAGACCATCCGCGCGGCTGTATCTTGTTCCTGTAAGGAGTTATTGGCAAAAAACCTTTGGTGACCTTTGATGACGTCACATGAGTTTACAGCTGCCCAACAGCAAAACAGACCTCAAGGTAGTGAAGGTTGATCGTATGTGAAGTCATGTATGGTATATGGAGCCATTCCGACCCGTTTTAGTGGTAAAAACAGGGAGTTGATTTTTCCCCCATTTCCCCCCCCATGGGGAGGTCGCGAAATTGACCTGACCTTAGGTCACCGACATCAAAATTCCGAGATATACAAATTGTAGCTACTAATGACCTAATAACATCCTGCGACTTTCAAAGGCCTCCGACATCTACTGTAGCTCTGGCACGGTGACAAAGTTGCAAAAAAGTGACTTGAGGTTGGGTCATTCAAAGTGACCTGGTGACCTGACCTTAAAAGTTAGGAGGTTCAAACTTGCACACCATGTGTAAAATTGATGAGAGAATAGTCATACCAAATTTCGCGGCGCTACGCGCCGAGGTTTTCCCGCTATCCGCGAAAAACCTCAGGGGGGGGGCGGATATCCGCCCCCCCGTCGGTGCGCGGGTTAAGCTCTAGCGTCATTTTGTGCCAAGTTATTGGCAAAAACGTCATTTGACCTCAGTTGACCTCATTTGACCTGACCCATGGATAAGTACACCAAACAAAGAGGCACCAAGTGACCTGCTGCTAAGTACTGTGGTTTCAAAGCACAAAAGGGATAGAACGAAGCGGATATCTCCAGTATTTTTCGAATTTAGTATTTTCCCATAGGCCCCTCGCATGTGTGCGGCGTTTGCCAGCTTCTAATGTGTAGGGGGGGGGGGGGTCGGTTGGACCCCCCCCCTTGCCGTTTGGCCCCTGATCGAGCTAGAGCTTCGCGGAAAAACGAGCGTGTTGCTCGTGACGAGAGGAAGCCGATGATACCCAATTTTAAGGTCCTAGGTCATTGGTTGACCTTCCAGATCAGGTCAATGACCCAAAGTCGGGAAAATCGGTACCTGTTAGAAAGTCGTAAAGTGTGGCTGCTAAGGGGTTTTTCGGGGTGCTGATCACGAATATCGTATTAGTTTTAATCACAGATGATGTCTTGAAGCATTTAGACCAGGTCGGGTCAGGTCAGGTCAGGTCAACCAGTAGGCGTCGTGACGGGTATTCGTAGTACATGTCAACCGCCTCTGACAGCTTCGTAACATGTTACGAAGTCACCAAAACTACTTCGTAAATGTTCAAATGGTTGCTAAATTCGAATTCAGCTCCAAAAACTAGCCTAGAAACATGTAAAACTCGAAAAATTGACCCGAGGTCACCCGAGGTCACCAAAGGTCAATGACCTGACCTGACCTTCAGGTGACTTTGACACACGCGGGAGTAACATCAAATCACATGTTTGAACGTTTGAAACCACGAAAAGCTTGCAAACACGCGGCTAGTGCGAGCCGACATACGCGAAATCGCGATTCCGGCCAAACATGGTCTCGGAAAAGAGGTCACAGGTCAAAGGTCATTTGGGTCAGGGTCATGAAATTTTTAAGGGTAGGTGTAAAATTGATCAATGCGAGGGTACTGAAAGTTTCGTCGCGATCGGCCGCTTTTTACGCGAGTTATTCGCGAAAAACCATGGGGGGGGGTCCATCCGACCCCCCCCCCCCTACACATGCGAGGGTTAACATTACGACGTAATGACCTCTAACTGACCTCAGGTCAGTGACCCCAAAAAACCCGAACTATATGTTATACAACTCGGTGAACTTAGCACATTGTTTGGGTGCTTGCTTGCTTGGCTTACGAACCCCAGGGTGCAGACGCCACCAGTACCAGCCGAGAACTGTATTCAGTGAGCGGGGCGGCGGTGGCCCGGGCGGCCACAGCCCAGACTGCATACGATACCGGCGCCGGCTCAGCGGCGGCTCCAGGCTATAGAGCGGGGTGTGACCACAGCAGCCACCACGATACATCTCCCCCTCTTACGCGACTGCTAATAAGATCTACTAGAGAAAGCTAGGCTTTACTCCAAGCACAAAGCTGGTTTTCTTAAACCCCGAAAATCCGACCGCTGCGAGTTTTACGAGGGCTAACGTGTACAGGGTCGTCAGCGGGCTGCACTGATGGCGGAGCGGGTGCCAGCGGAGACGTCGCCGGCTCAGGTGACGGCGCAGCTGGCGGAAGCTGCTGTGGTGGTGGTGGCGGCACCACCGGGCGTGGTGCTGCCACGGATGTCGGCGGCACCACCGGAGGTGGCACTGGTGCTGCCCGTTGCCCGGTTCCGTGCTGTGCCGGGACCTGTAACGGAACAGGAGGGATCAGCAGCAGGTGCCGTCGGTTGCGGCGATATTGGCAGCCGCCGAGCTCCACCAGATAGCTGCGTCTGGAGAGCCTTTGCGTGACGATGGCGGGCTCCGACCAGCTGCCCCTTTCTGTCTTGATCCGGACTCTGGCGCCGGGCTGCAGCGGAGGCAGGTTGCGGGCGCCTCGCCTCTGATTGACGGTTGACTCCTGTTTCTTCTTTCTCCGCCCATCGCGGAGTTTCGCGTGCCGCCATGCCTTCTTGGCGGGCTGCTGAGCGACGGGGAGACGGGACTGAAGCTCACGTCCCATCAGAAGGCGGGCTGGGGAGTATCCAGTGGCTTCCACAGCCGTTGTTCGGTAGTTCAGGAGAGCGAGGTGAGGATCTTTTTGGCGAAGTATCCACTTTGCGGTCCTCACGGCCCGTTCAGCTGCTCCATTGGATGATGGCGTGTGCGGGTCAGTGACGCGATGTGTGAAGCCGTACGACGCTGCGAAGTCGGCGAATGAGCTGGAAGTGAACTGCGTTCCTCCGTCTGTTGTCATCAGATCCGGTATCCCCAGTCTGGAGAACAGGCGCTTCAGCCGCTCGATGACTGCGGTGCTTGTGAGGCTGGGCAAGCGTTGAATTTCCAGATACCTGCTGAAGAGGTCCACAGTCACGAGCCAGTTGCTGTTGTTGAAGTGGAAGATATCTGCTGCGATGTGATTCCACGGTCTTGACGGCGTTGGAGTCGTTACCAGTGGCTCAGCGTGCTGGGAGGGCGCGTGCACTTGGCAGAACGCGCAGTGCTCGATGTGGCGCTTCAAGTCGATGCTGATCTTGGGCCACCAGACGGATTCTGCTGCTCGCTGGCGGCACTTGTTGAGCCCGAAGTGACCGTCGTCATGTAGACGGTTGAGCATCTCTTCACGCAGACTAGGCGGTATGATGATGCGGCGGCCGTACATCAGCAGTGTGCCGCTTGTCAGGTAGAGAACGCTGATTTCTCCACGCGCGGCGAAGTAGTCCAGCATGTCGGGGTGCTTTGCTCCCTCCTTCCAGCCAGAGAGAGTCTGCTGAACCACGCGCTGGAGGAGTTCATCTGCCTGTTGAGCCCTGCTGATCTCCACCAGACGCTGCGGTGTGGCGGGCAGGTCATCGAAGACCCTCTTGCAGAAGTTGTGGACGTCTTCCTGTTGCACAGCGCCGATCGCATCGTGCTTCTGGAGTGGATGACGCGAGAGGAAGTCAGGTACCAGGTGCTGCTTCCCTGGAATGAACACCGCTGTTGCGTTGTAACGCATTAGTCGCATGAGCATGCGCTGACACCTGATTGGCGCATCTACGAGATTTTTCGTGTTGATGAGCGGGATCAGTGGCTTGTGATCCAGTTGTAGGTCGAACGACGGCAGTCCAGACAGGAACATGTGCATTTTCTCGCATGTCCAAGTTGCAGCGAGTAGTTCCTTTTCAATCTGGGCCCACCTCGTCTCTGTGTCCGTCAGACTTCTGCTGCAGAATGCGACGGGCTTGAAGCTGGAACCATGCTTCTGAAGGATGCATCCTCCGATTCCGTAGCTGCTTGCGTCTGCGCTGACCACTGTCTCGCGCGCTGGGTCGTAGAACGCCAGGACTGGAGCGGACGTGACGGCTGCTTTCACATCATCCAGTGCTTGCTGCTGCTGAGGCGTCCAGTTCCACGCAGCGTCCTTTTTCAGCAGATCGTTGAGGGGCCTTAGGCGCTCCTGGATGTGCGGGACGAACCTGCAGAGGTAGTTGACCACCCCTAGCAGAGACCGGAGCTCTGTGACGTTCTTTGGCTGCTGGAGCTGCTGTATCGCTTCGAGCTTCTCGTCGTCCACGCCGATGCCATTCTTGCTTATCTTCATGCCAAGAAACTTGACCTCGTCCCTTCGGAACTCACATTTCGTCTTGTTCAGCTTGAGGCCAGATTCATGGATTCTTCTGATGACGGCTTCGAGACGTGCGTCATGGTTGCTTGCATCTCCAAAAACCAGCGTGTCGTCCATGTAGACGATGACTCCAGGCAGTCCATCCAGCATCTCCTGCATCTTTCGCTGGAAGCACTCCGGAGCCAGTGAGATTCCCATCGGCAGGCGCAGGAACCTCTTCCTGCCGAACGGTGTGATGAACGTAGTCATTTTGGAGCTTGCTTCGTCCAACGGGATCTGGTAGAAGCCAGAAGAAGCGTCCAGCTTGGAGAACAGTGTCGCACCGCCCAGCTTGGACGTCAGGTGCTCCAGGGTCGGGATCGGGAAGCACCAACGGCGCCTCCACGGCGCGCACGCTTTGTCGATTTCACCAACGAAAGCATCATGTGGCGCTAACGGCTCGCTTGATTCTGTACGCTCTATCTGCCTGACGCTAGGTGATCGGCAGACGGCTGCGAAGTGATCCATTTTCTGACAGTTGGAACAAACTTTTCCCTTAGCGGGACAGTCCCTCGGTGAAGCATGCCGCTCTCTCCCGCAATACCTGCATGTTGTTGCAGAGTCGATGTGACGCGCTTGCTGTCGTGGCTGCGTGACAGGTGACTGCTGCTGTCGCCCGTGCTGCTGGCGCCGTTGATGCTGCTGCTGATGGCCACGCTGGCGCTGACGGGCGTGCTGCGGCTGCTGGCGCGGCTGTCCGTACTGCGTCGGTGCTCGAACTCTGTTGACATCAAATGGACCGGAGCTGTCACGGCTGTTTACGATTTCGACGTTACGCATCATAGTAATGACCGTATTCATCGACACCTCTTCCTCGAGCGATTTGAGCTGGATCTTACGGGACAGCTCCCTGTCGGACATCCCGGATATGAGACGATCCCGGATCCGCTCGTCAGCGTCTGCAAAGCCACAATGCTCGGCGAGAGAGAACAATGCCCTGATATACGATTCGTTGGTCTCGTGTGACCCTTGGCAGCGGAGCTCGAAGTTGTGACGTTCTGCAACGAAGTTCCGTCTCGGAATGAAATACTCGTCAAGCTTGCTCTGCACAAAATCAAAATCTTTGCTTTGCTCAGCAGTTAGCTTAAAAGTTGACACGATATGCTCGGCCTGCGGGCCCATGCTATAGATCAACGCAGCTACTTGTACATCACCGTCCTCCTTGTGAAGTCCCGATGCCAGTCGGTAGCGGATGAAGCGATCACGCCACGCCGGCCACTTTTCAGGAGAGGTGAAATCAAAGTCTTCTGGTGGATGGAAACCAGGCATCTTGAGTGACGATGCAGCACAGCAGCTACACGAAAATCGGCAATAACGGCTGATAAAAATCACAATAATTAGATGCACGCTTCACATAAAGTCACTAACGCTTGCTTATGCTTGCTTGATGAGTGGCATGGCAAGTTCAGAAGGCAGGCTGCGCCATGTTTGGGTGCTTGCTTGCTTGGCTTACGAACCCCAGGGTGCAGACGCCACCAGTACCAGCCGAGAACTGTATTCAGCGAGCGGGGCGGCGGTGGCCCGGGCGGCCACAGCCCAGACTGCATACGATACCGGCGCCGGCTCAGCGGCGGCTCCAGGCTATAGAGCGGGGTGTGACCACAGCAGCCACCACGATACACACATCCTGAAAGTTTGAAGGAAATCAGTCAAACACTGTGAGTTGGACAGGTGCAAAAAGAAAATTGAAATTTGACCATGACCTTGTACCGGTTTTCCTAACCTGTTGACCTGACCCAAGGTTACCCGGACCTGAAATTTTCAGGTCATATGTAAAAAGGTTGCCCCATAGGCTGTGCCAAATCTGGCGGCGCTGCGCGCCGCCGTTTTCACGCTATCTTCGAAAAACCTTAGGGGGGGTCGCATCGACCCCCCTGCCAGGGCGAGGGTTAAAATGTAGAGTGCAGAGCAGAAAGACAAGCTGGGGGAAGGAGGCAACTTCCCCCCCCCCATTGCGGGCGAGAAGTAATCGTGTATAGCATTGATTGGCAAATGAATATTTTTTAGCTTGTAGTAGTACACCATCGCCCACACATGGGGGGGGGGGGAGGTGGTTGCCAACCCCCCCCCCCCTCCCAGGTAGTTTTTCTGCTCTGCACTTAACATTTATGGAGCTAGAAGCCTGATTTTTCGTACAGCTGCTCCTCTATCCTTTTTTATGTCCACTATAAATTTCAAGTTTCTGTGTTTTTTGGTTTCGGAGATATGACCTTGTTCTTCAGGTCATGTCATGACCCAAATGACAAATTCCAAATACTTTTCGTTGGCTATGGGTCTTGTAAGCTTTTGATACCTTCATTTTGGCCTTTTTTGCCAGTCTTACCTCCCACCGGCCACCTATCATGGAACATGTTGTTCCACGATGTACAGGTGTCAAGGTCAGGGTCAAGGTCAACCTAAGTCGTCTAAAAAATTGCGTTTTAGGCAAGCTGAAATTAATTTTCATGAGTTTCTTTGATTGTATTTTTGGTAAAAGCTTCTCATTTCATGATCTCATGTAATATGGACACATAAACAATCTGTGCACACATCAGTATACACACAGACAGTGCACACAGACATACAAACACATATCATTGACCTTGACCTAACTTGACCTGAAATGACCTCAGCAGCAAAAACCTGGTCGGATAGTGTGACAAAGAGGTTCTAGCTTGCTTGCCACCACAATTCAGCATCGTCATCGCCCATCGGTCTGTGATGAGCAGCGCACTTGATATCCAACGGTGACCCAAAACAGCAACATTTTTTAGTTTGACCTGACCTGGAAGGTCATTTACTGACCTGCGAAGGTAAAACTGAATATCATTGGATTCATCTTTTCCCAAATAATCTTTTTGGTCTCTACCGCGAAGCTTTATCTCCAACAGGAACGAAATGGCAACGGGGGGATGGCAATTACACCCCCCCCCCCATGTGCGTTCTAGGATGGTAAACTGGCATGTGCGGGCGAGGGTTAAAAGGAAAAAAACAGTGATTATTTTTAACTACTGCGTAGGTTTCGGACATCTTTGGACAAATGGCTGATTTGGACATTTTTGGACGGACATCCTATTGGACTCCGGACGGACATTGGACAAGCTTTTTCTGAAACTGACACCACTAGCTCTCGGCCACTGTGTTTTGAAGAATTTGAACGTGCGCACCAGACCGCAGTATACATCCAGCCAGCGAGCCGAGTCGGTCAGGCCACGGACAAAGACGGTGACGAATCGTGAGCTGCCCTTCCGCTCCACCGATAGCGCTGCTCCAAACCGCCGCCACCACACAGGAAGGGTGACCGCGCCGCTGCAGCTGCGGCCGACAGGAAGGACGGCAGATAGCCGGGCTAGTACCGCAGAGTCCCAGAGCCGCAGGCAGGATGGTGCGGTGATCTAAAAAAGGTCCTCTTCAATATTATGTATAAAAAAATTAGGTATAAAATTATAAGTATGGCCTACTGATCGCTCTAAGAAATCCTTTTTTTATCTAAGAAGGACCCTCTTTCCGATTTCAGCGAGCCCTGCCAATCTACAGAGGGCCCTCTGTCAGCATTTAACCCTCGCCGGCCGAGGGGGGGGGGCGGGTGCCGCCCCCCCCCCATAGGGTTTTTTTCGCGATAGCTCCGAACACGTTGGCGATAGAGAGCTGAAACTTTGCATACCTGACCTTTCATTCAAGCCGCATCTTTTGACACCAACCGCATTTTTTAATCAGGTCAGGTCACTGACCTATGACGTCATAAAAGAACCTCTGCACGGTCTTCAGATGTCGCAATTTCGCAACGCCCTCACTGCCAGAGGAGATGTCACAGGGAAATGAAACTTGCAGGATCTAGTATCCATTATGAGTCTCACAACTTGTATATCTCGGATTTCTCCTAAAGGTCATATGAGGTCAGGTCATTTTCGTGACCTCACCATTATAAGTCAACGGGGAAAAATGGAAACTGCTATTCTGGCGCCGGGAACGATCTCCAACTATCTTAAGCACACGGAATCGTGATTTGATGCACTCCTTGCAAGGTTAGATGCGTCATTTTTACAATGTTGACCTTGCGTAACGTCATTTATGACGTCATCAAGGTCATATTAGTTTTTCGTCAATAACTCTTGATCAAATTGAGCTAGCGAGTCGGGTAAGCCATCAATGGACTTAGGAAGACCTGCCGAATCGAATGATATGCGACATGACCTCTTTTGACCAACTTCGTGACCTTGGGGTGCTGACCTGACCTTGACCTGAGGTCAACACCCCAAGTTGACCTGACCCGGACAAAAAGTATATCATTCGACGCGCCTGAGCGAGGCGAACACGATGCTGCCAAAATCGCGGCTCTGCGGCCGTTTTTTGCGAAGTTATTCACCAAAAACTGAACCGTACCCTGGGGTACTTGACCTGACCTCAGAGGTCACCGGTTGACCTAGAACCTTAAAATCGGGTACCAATCTCAGCGTCTCGTAACGGCGCACACGCTCGTTTTTTTCCGCGACGCGCTAGCTCCACCAGGGGCGAAACGGCGAGGGGGGGTCGTACCCGCCCCCCCCCCTCCTCGGCCGGCGCGTATGTAGAAAACCAATAGGTCCGGCGAGGGTTAACCCTCGCCCGTAAACGGTGTTTTGCCACCTTCGCCCATGCAGGGGGGGGGGGGGGTTGGTGCGACCCCCCCTGGCGTTTGAAAACGGAGCGTCTTAGAGCTTAGCGGAAAAGACCAACGGATTGCTCTTAACCCATTTATGCCCAGGAATATTGACCATCATGAAAATCGATGAAATCAAGATATGTTACGCTTCTACCAGGGCCTTGCATGGAATCGAAAATAATTTTTGCCGGCAGCAAAAGTTTTTCGAGAAAAACGTAAAAAACGTGCGCTGCGAAATCGCAACGAAGGGCACACCGGGCGCCATCAGCGTTGCGAAAACGCAACGACGGGCACATCAGACGGACATAAAGTACACTAAACCGCCGTATACGCTAGTTTGTTTTAACATATATTTCACCAACTGTTGAAAAATATTGCTTGAGAATGCGGAACCCACATCCCTCATGCTTTATTACCCGCCTAAGAGCCCCAATGAGGGAGCATATTAAGGGTTCGCGAACGGGGAGATGGCAACAAACGGTCATTATCAACAACAATTGTCGATTTAACCCTCGCCCTGGCAGGGGGGGGTCGATGCGACCCCCCCCCCCCCTAAGGTTTTTCGAAGATAGCGTAAAAACGGCGGCGCGCAGCGCCGCCAAATTTGGCACAGCCTATGGGGCAACCTTTTTACATATGACCTGAAAATTTCAGGTCCGGGTGACCTTGGGTCAGGTCACCAGGTCAGAAAAACAGGTACAAGGTCATGGTCAAATTTCAATTTTCTTTTTGCACCTGTCCAACTCACAGTTTTGGACTGATTTCCTTCAAACTTTCAGGATGTGCTAAGTTCACCGAGTTGTATAACATATAGTTCGGGTTTTTGAGGTCACTGACCTGAGGTCAGTTAGAGGTCATTACGTCGTAATGTTAAGCCTATGGGAAAATACTAAATTCGGAAAATACTGGAGTTATCCGCTTCGTTCTATCATTTTTGTGCTTTGAAATCACAGTACTTAACAGCAGGTCACTTGGTGCTTCTTTGTTTGGTGTACTTATCCATGGGTCAGGTCAAATGAGGTCAACTGAGGTCAAATGACGTTTTTGTCAATAACTTGGCACATAATGACGCTAGAGCTTAAAAAATGGTATCATTGTGTTCCTGGTGATCAGCCGAATCGAATGATATACGATATGACGCAATTTGGTTAACTTGAACTTAATTTATAAATTTAAGTTTACTTAAAATTTAAGAAAAACTTTAAGTACACTTAACCCGCGCCCTGCTGGGGGGGGGTGTTTGAACACCCCCCCCTGTGGTTTTTCGCAAATATCTCAAAAACGGCGGCGCGGAGCGCCGCCGTTTTTTGTACACCTTATCATACATCAATTCTACACATGTTGTGAAAATTTCAGACCAAGGTCATTCAAGGTCAGGTCACCAGGTCACTTGAAGTGACCTCACCTCATAAAAAGTTTCAATGTCTGTCATAGCTACACCGAGTGACCGATCGCTTTGAAACTTTCAGCGATTGCTAAGAGCAATAGCATGTACAAAATGTATATCTCAGAATTTTGATATCGATGACCTAAGGTCAGGTCAATTTTGCGACCTCCCCATTATAAGTCAATGGGAGAAAATTGAAATGCGCCTCTATTGGACGAAAGACATTATAAACACTCCCAAACACTGAATTACAAGTGGTTT